AAAAATTGTTTACTCTGTTCTTACGATGATTTAAGGTTCCCGAATCATTGATGTCTTTGACATCGATGATACGGCTATGACCCTGTCTCGCCTTAAATCGTTGTAATGAACATCTTAAACAAAGAAAATGGACTGACTATTAGTCTCTCTCTCTCACTCCCTCACTCTTCAGTAGGTGTTTGTGAAGGAATTTCGAACGCCTCGATTTGATGATAAACAATTCAACGAGTTGAATTGTTTCTAATCAATATCTCATTTTCAAAATTTTTAAGATTAATAAATTTTATTAACTTAAATAAAAATATTCTCTTAAATCAATAAATATAAAGATTTTATTTTTTGTTAAATAATCAGTAATATATTTAGAACAAATTTCTAATTTAGGATTTGCTTCAATTGCTTCTTGTAATGAACCAAGTTTAGCTAATCTATCAGCTTGTTCATTACCATAATTTCCCAAATGACCTCTAACATGAATCAATCGAACTGTACCTATTCTATTGTCAATAAGTTTTTTTAACCTTTTGATTAAATCTTGATTTTTGACCGGTGTATTTTTATAACTCATATATCCATTTTTTCCCCATTTTTCGACCCAATCTTCAATTATATTAATTACATATTTACTATCTGTCATTATTTCCAAAGGTTTTATTTTTATTTCACAAACTTCGAGAGCTCTAATCACAGCATAGATTTCTGCGCGATTGTTAGTCTGTTCCAAACCTGGTAATCTTTTGCTTAAATTATTAGGGTCATTATCTTTCCAAAATACTCCAATACCCACTTGAGCTCTCGTTGTACTATTATTAAAAGATGATCCATCTGTCCAAATTTGAATTTTACTATCGTTTAAGATTATAGAAACTTCACATTTTCCTTCAATAAATTTTTGAGCTTCGATACGAGTAGGGAATTTTTTATACATAGCATTACGAAATTCATTAACTTGCGTCTCACATTCATCCCAAGTTAAATAAATTCCTGGTTTACGTCCTTTTCATACAGCATAATATCCCGGTTTGGTTTTTGGCATCTAAAAAAAAAATTGAATCGGTCGGTCGGTCGATCAATCAACAAATAGTTAGTCCAATGAGAGTTAGTATCAAGTAAAGAAGTGAATTCTTAAACAAAACACAGTTTGGAGCTCTCTCACCTTTTAATTAATTATTTATCTTTACTGCAAGAGTAAAAATTTTAAATATGTAGTATAATATAAAGTATAATACGAAACAGAAAGAAAAAGCTTTTGCAAGTTCGATCGAACAGAAAGATAAGTTTGGACCGAGCTCAATTTCAATAACCATTTAGTTTAGGAAAATCGTGGGTTTATATATATATTTAAATCTGAAAATAAATTATGGGATTCCTTCAAAGTTTTCGAAACAACTTCGATGA